TGGGTGGGGGGGGGGGGGGGGGGGGGGGGGGGGGGTGGTCGGGGTGCGAGCTCAACTTCTTTGCGACTGGAAGATCTGATCCGACGCACGAGAGGTGTTTTGGTTCTGCACGCATTCCATTGAGATCCAGGTACAGAGCGATGAGGAACAATGTTTTATTTGCTTGAGCTCCCTGCACAGTTCATTCATCAGGCTCTGAAGCTTCAACCGTGTCGGTGCTCAATTGGCGGTGGTAGCTGACTGGCCTGGCGATGCCATCGTCATTTCTTCTGTCTGCCCTATCAAGATGCCTCCAGGGTCTGGTATCCTCCCTTCCAGTTGTCCGGTGCGAGGCTGCCAGTGACCACAGCGGTGACCTCGTTGGCTACCTGAAGCAGTGGCGAGACGGCAAGGACACCTGGCCATGGGTGTGGTGTCAGCCGGTGAGGGAGACGAGCAGGGAGACTGGTCGGTCGGGACGTGTGAAGGGAGGGTTGCCTGTGCGTTCACTCAGAACCCCCATGGGCCGTTGTATGTGTTCGTCATCTCTGGGAAGCCGCCAGCAGAGCCTGCCAAGGTGCCTCCTGCACGAGATCTGGTGACCGAGGTGCACCGAATCGCCAAAAGCGGTGAGTGAGCAGACACAGACAGACACGGAAGACAGCTGAGCTCACAAGGAGGTGCTTGCCGGGCGGCATTTACTTGTGCCTGTCTGTGGCTGTCTGGTCTGTGGTTTGTTGCCGTTCGTCCAGACGGGCGCAACAACTGTCTGGTGCTAGCGAGGAGTGAGGATTTGCGTCGGTTTGGGAGAGAGGAGGACTTCTGGTCAGCGAGATGTGGCATTCACGACGCCCCGATAGAGAGGATAGATGTCGACAACAAGATGCTGCTGCTGTCGGACGAGAGGATCGTCTGCTACGATGAGTGCGTGTTCCTCTGACGTGACGCGTGTAACTATAGTGGATGGATGGATGGATCTCATGACGTCAGTCAGAAGGCTTCTGTCTGTTCGTGGACGGTGTGACGCTGCGAGGGTCAAGACAGTCGTCCATCGATCAGGTCAATCGAGCGGTCCATGCACACACACACGCGCATCGCATGGCATGCAGATTAGTCACTCAATCAGACGTTCACATGGCTGGGCTGCTCATTGGCCCGCATTCTTCATCTTGTCCTTCTCGACCTGTTTGTTTACACACACCACACACACACACCCCAAGCAGACAGACCAACACACCACACCCACCACATACATAATCAGGACAAACAAGGCAGGGACTGCTGTGCTGTGTCAGCTGAGCGGGGGAGCTCACCAAGATGAAGTTGGTTGACCCGAAGTATTTGTCGGTGTTCTTCTGCGGCGCCTTCTTCTGCCGCTGGACGTCGGGATTCACCAACTCAATGCCCTGCAGACAGACCGACATGACACAGACACCCGCACACACGAGCTGGCCAGCCGTCTGGGTGGGGTGGCTCCCGTAAGCCTTCTCCCTCCCTCCTGACTGACTGACTGGCTGACCTGCATGGATGTGAAGGTGACCGACGAGGCCGTCCCTGACGCTGCAATAAGGGACATCACACACACACAGAGGGAGGGAAACAATAAGTGGTGCCTGGCGATCAGTTGCATGCGGTGTGTGTGGTCACCTGCAGTGGCCCCTGCCGATGCGGCCTGAGAGGCCGCCAGACGGGCGTGGCGCGACTTGCTTGCTGAGGCCAGACACAGACATGACATAGAGAGGACAGAGATGAGGTCAATGACCAGCCGGTGTCCGTGTCTGTGTCTGTGTGGGGGCGTTGGGTTGCTTTGCTTACGCATTTGGACTTTGGCCTTCTTTTGTTCGAGTTTGAGTTTGCCGAAGCCAGTACTCTGACCCAACATGCCCAAACCCTTACCTGCGCACACACACACACACACACACACACACGGTAAATGTCCGGATGTCTGTCTGTCTGTCTGTCTGCGTGTGTCCTATCCACATCCATGTCATGTATGTGTGTGTACCGCACCTTTGAGTCCGTATTCCTCCTCGGCGTCCGGTCCGAATTTGAGTCTGTTGGCCTGCTTGCGGAACTCACTCATGCCGTACTTCTCCTTCATGCGACGATACCTGATCATACAAACGCGCACACACACACACCCGACATGCATGACAGATACGATCGATCAACCGGGGAGGTGCTCACTTGCGTCCGCCCCGTCTGGCTTTGGGTTTCTCATCGGGGAGGGGTAGTGCCTTCTTCTGGGGGGCGGGGGGAGGCTCCTGCGACTGAACACATCACATCACCAGAAGGAAGATACGTACGTTTGTGTGTGGTCCACCGGTGTGTCGGTTGTGATGGTGTTGTGTTTGTTTCCTCCCTCCCCTGCTCTACTCACCTTGAGTAGGGACTGTACGATCTTCTCCCTCAGCTGGACGCCCACCTGCCCCTGGGGCGACTCGTTGAACGAGTCCACACGCGCCGCCAAAGAGCACCTGACACGCGTGACACGCAGCCATCCAATCCAGCCTTCCAGCCACGTCACGTGTATGACAATAAGGCATTGCATCGTCTGATCTGGCTGGTCTGTCTGTGTGCCTACTGACTTTCCCGCCACAAGTTTGACAGCTCGGTTGCGGAAGGCGGGAGGCGTCCCCAACACCAGGTCAGACTGGAAAATCAGACCCTGCAGCTCAGACAACAAACAAAACACAGTTTGCACGAGAGGGAGAGACACGCCACTGTGGGCACCACTGTGCTCAGCTCATCTCTGAGTTATGCTGACTGACCACTGTGTTGCCAGCGGTGGCTGTCGAGAAGCCCACAGACGCCTTCTTCTGCGATCCAATCAGCTGCACGCACAGAACAGAACACCCAACGCACAACATCCCACTGATGGTTGGTGAGTCATGAATCGCGAACAATCCTCTTCCCTCCCTGTGTGTGTCTGTACTTACCATAATGTTCTGCGCGGGCATGCGGGAGAGATTGAGGAGCCCCCCCGCCTGTGTGAGCAGCCGCGCGGCCAGGGCCGACCCCAGGATGGCCGTGAGGTTGGGCGCCATCAAAGACATCTTGGACTCCAGATACAGCAACACCTGACACACACACATGGCAGACATGAACAAAGAGTGGACTGTACTGTGGGTGTGAATGTGGGTGGGTGAGGTACGTCTTTCCTGCACTCTGCGAGGTGCAGAGCCTCCTCAGCGGCACCCATGACCTTATCCAACTCAGAGGGGGGCAGCGGAGAACCTGATTGATGATGGCACACAGACAGACAGACACGGGTTCCCGCCACGTGACGTGTGGTAGGTAGTGTGTGTGGTATGCACCTGTGGTCATGCTGGCGGCCACGGTGACGGCCATGATGACCGTGTTGGGCAGCAAATCAGACAAGTCGATCTGAGTCAAATCCTGAACACCACACACCACACATCACACCATCACACATTCGGACGACTGCCGACACTGTTCGATCGTGTGACATGACAGACAGACTGACCGTTTCGTTGCCGACTCGTTTGATGATGGCGATGTACTCGAGGGGCGAGTAGACGATCTGCTCCAGCTCGGGCAGCTTCTTGCCGTACACATCCTTGATGAACTTGTGGATGTTCATTATCCTCACACACACAACACAATAAACGGAGAGCAGAGCAGAGCAGAGCAGGCAACACCACACGAATGCATTGCATGTCCGTCGGCTTCTCCGTCTGTCTGTCTGCCTGTGTGTGTGTGTGGATGCTCACTCGCTGTCGATGGTGCCGACAAGCTGATTGCACTGCTCGATGAGGTCGTACTCGTCTCCCTTGCCGTCACGCAGCTCAATGGCCTCACCGTTGTTGCTGTCGTTGTTGCCCTCCTCCCGCTTGACGGCCACCTTGGGCGTCTCCTTCTCGCCATCGACATCCATGGCATCCTCATTGCCGCTAGTCAGCTTGCGCACACGCTGAACGCACACAACCAAACCGTATATATTGTGTTGGAGTCACCTTGCTGCTGTGTGTTGTGGTGTGACCTACCTCTAGCACATTGAGGAAGTGTTGCTGCTTTGCCAGGTTGGACACGACGGCCACTGTCTGCGTCTGGGCCTTCTCGTAGGCCTCGACGGCATCGATGATCTCCTCGTCGCTCTCCTCGTCGGCCGCCGGCTGTTCCTGCTGCAGGTCGTCCTCCAAATCCTCCAGATCTTGCAGAAACGAATCCGCCAACGTTGCCTGTACGTACCACATAAACCACACATGACAACACGAGCAGGTCCTGCCGTCCCGTCCCTCCTCATGAATGTTGTTCTCACCATCTTGGCTTTCTGCTGCTAGAATGCCATCAAGTCGAGTGCAACGCACCCGGCGTGGGGGGAAGCTTCGTTTTCGCTTTCCCTTTCTGCGAGCTCAGTTGCGAGCTTTCCGGGGCAGAGGGAGAAGGAAAGAGGGCCTCGCTTGGGCGTAGCTCCAGCGCGTCACAGCCTATAGCTCATCCGTTTTTAATGATTCATTCGAACGACAGCTGCAAGGACAGCTGAGTGAGGAATCATCCATCCATCTTCGTTGGCGAGCGTCTGACATGAGAGGAGCGTCTGAGTGCACCGGGGGAGCTTCCTGCGCCGCAAGCCGGGACCAGGAGAACCACAACACAATGGAAATGAGTCCAAGATCTGCAGCCAGCCAGCCATCCCGGCTGCCTATGCTAACGATGCTGCTGGCGTCTGTGCTGACGTTGGCGGCTGGTCAGATCAGGGTGACGACTCCACACTCGTTGGCTGACCAACTGGCCCTGCGCTTCCCAGACCGGGGAGGCATCATTCCCGGCACCACAGCCACATTTGGGGCACCATACTATGGTGAGCTCCCAGGCAGGAAGGACACAGCACAGGGGAACCTCTCTCTCTCGTTGTCCATTCATTGGTCCGTTTGTTTCGTATGCTATCTATCGACCTGTCTGTCAGGCACGACACTGGTGGGTCGTTTCATCTATAGAGAGGACGCTGGGATGCACTGCAAGCCCGGCTACTTCAACATCACGAAAGACCTGCCGGATCTCAAGGATTTCGACGGCAACGTCAACAACCTGCCCACCGCCTTCGACTCGCTGATCATCGTTGTCGACAGGTAGGTGACACACACACGACGCACGACACAACCAGCAAACACTCACACACACCAACACCCATACCTTGTGGATGTGTGTGCGCGGTGCAGAGGCGTGTGCACATTCGTGACGAAGGTCAAGGTAGCACAGGACGAGTACAAGGCGACGGCGGTGGTGGTGGCGGACAGCAAGACGTCGAGCTACACATGGCAGGACATCCAGCACATTATCATGGCCGACGACGGCTACGGGAAGGACATCTACATCCCCTCCATCCTCATCGACCACGAGACGGGCCAGCTGCTCAAGGACTTCATCAAGCACGCTGACATGACCAACAAAGAAGACGATAAAACCGTTTACGGCGAGGTGGAGTGGGATATACCCACCCGAGACGTCGCGTGGGTCGACTTCTGGACTGACGCTGCATCAGAGGAAGGTACGTACAACCAAGTGTCGCCTTCGCGGCTCTCTCATCCGCCCGCCATGGCCCATGCGTCTGTCTGTTGTGTGCAGGGAGCCGCTTTCTGCAGGAGTATTCTCGCCACGCTGAGATGCTCAAGAACCACATGCGCTTCGTGCCTCACTACCGCATCGTGTCCTTCCCCAAACACTTCGAGGACCTCTGCTACGATCCTACCTTCAAGCCAGGCGCGCAGAAGAAGACCGACTTCTGCGCAGACGACCCTGACGGCCCAAGCGGGTCCGTCACTGGCGAAGCGGTCAGACAACGCAACACAGCACGGGGGCGGGAGGGGGAACGTTCACACGACAGGAGCAACCAGTGTCTTCGTTCGCTGCGTGTCTGTGTGTTCTATGTATGTGTTGTTGACCTGCAGGTGGTCAGAGAGGATTTGCGTCAGCTGTGTGTGTACAACCTGACGGCCACACCGATCCCCGGCCACAGCGACTCCCTCTTCAGCAATCCATACTGGCTATACGTCAAGGCCTTCGCCGAGCAGTGCTCCATCCAGGCACACAACATCGCCAACGCCCCCGCATCGATGCCCTCACACCACCACAGACACGGCGGCCACCACCATCACGGCCACCATCACGGGCACCACCACGGCCGCCGGCAGCTGGGGTCGCCCTTCTCGGATGAGTGTGCCGACGCCATCATCGACAAGCTGTACCATGACCGGCATATCAGCAGCCGGCAGGTGCCCAGGCAGCTGATAAGGGATTGCATGGAGGGTCAGAAGGGCCATTACCTGCTCACCCAAGAGCAGTCCAACCAGGCCTGGAGCCTCTTGGCTCTCAGAATCAACGGATGGAGGTGAGTGCGGTCAGCAACATGGAGACCAAGGCGTTGTGGATGAAAATGGGTGGGTGTGTATGTGTAGGTTTGCTGGTATGTTGGATGTGGATCAAGTGACCAGGGCGGTGTGTCAGGGCCTCGAGCAGGAGCCAGCAGAGTGCACAAGACTCAAACAGTGAGCACACACATACACACGGGCATACACACACGTCAGCCAGCCAGCCAGCCAGCCAGGCAGGCCGGCAGGGAGCCAGCCGTTAGTTGCATCGTATTTACTGGATCGGTTCTGACTACCACGGGGATCCTTCCAAGTCGGCGGTGCATAGATAGAGGGAGGCACAGTGGCGGTGTTAAGGCCCACAGGGGACGCACAATGAATGGTGCACACACTTGTGGACTTAGTAGAACGCCACACAGCACACAGACAGATAAGATACGTACGGGAATGCATGGTGCCTGCCTGCCTGGATGCAGTGCATGTGTACGCCATATGCAATCAATGTGCTGTATGTATTGCGTTTGTGTCTTTTCCGTGTGTGTGTGGTGTCGTCAGGGAGGCGGCCAGACGGATAGAGAACCGCATTGTCGAGGGTGTGTCGATGGGCACCGTGGTGTTGGTCGTCTTGCTGATAACCGTCATCGCCGCCATGGCCTTCTACTTCTACCAGAAATACACACAGGTGGGTGGGTGGGAGGGTGGGTGGGTGTGGGTAGAGAGAAGGCGTACACATCACTCACTGTGTCCATGCCATGCATGTGTCAGAATTCCGTCCGCAATGCGTTGCGTCGCGAGGTGATGATGGAGGTGAAGACCCAGCTGCAGGAATACCACCAGCTGCCGGGTGGGTCAACGAAGCAATGAATGCCACCCTCAGGCACCAACATGTACCATGTGTATCTTTCTATGTGTGTGTGGGTGTCTGTGTGTGCAGAGGATGCCATCCCCGAGAACCACCGGCAGGGCCGACCCCTGCTGGAAATGTCGCCACACACATGAACAGACAGACAGACAGAAAGAGAGGGAGAAGGCGCTCTTTGCGTTCGGTTGGCAGGGCATTTGTCCGTCCATGCCTGTTGATAGACAGATAGCAGTAAGTAAGTACGGTCACACACCGCAACCACCAGTACAGTACGGCCACTGACTGAGATACGATCAGTGCGGGGCGAGTCGAGACCCTTTTGGAGACGCGAAGTGGTGCCACGCAATGTAGCCTTCTCTTCTTTTTGACGTCATACTACCCATTGTCACATCCATCCATCCATCCATCGGTGTATTGCATGAAATGTGTGAAGGCATGGCTGCCGTGTACTGTGAGGGTCGGATAAGTGGGACGCTGCTAAATGGGAAAAACGCTAAATGGGACACCCCGGGCCGTGTCTCACTTATCCGACCCTCACTGTGTGTGTGTGTGTGTGTGTGTGCGCGTGTGTGTGTGTGTACAGTGGCGTGTGGGTGTGTCACCGTGTGTGGGTGTGTGGATAGATAGGCGAGTGAGATGGCATGCGAGTGGATTGGTTCATATGTGCGTACAGACTGACCCTCCCACAGGATGGGATGGCTGCTGCTGCATCAATCAGCGAGTCCATCTCGCAAAAACACACAAAATCAGATATCTGTACAACGTAGAGTCATATGAATCGTGGAGCCATATGAGCCTACATACATGAGTTTCATTCGAATGATTTGAGACGACAAAGTTTCATTCGTCATGTTGACTCATACGGTGCTCATTCGACATGGGCGCTGCGATTCATATGGCTGCGATGTGTGCGCACAATGCAATGGGGCTCACATCCGTGACACCACTGTGTGGTTCAAAACCGTCTCTGTTCGGCTCGTTTTTGATCAGGAAGCATCAGGAAGCAGTCGGTTGCATCATGGGCATGCTGATAAGGCGTCTGTCAGCACACACTACTATCGGGAAGTGTCCTCTGCAATGGGGCCCGTCCCAGCGGCCCCGGCGAGATAGCTTTTTTCCGCAAACTTGGAGCCTCCAGCTTAGTGGTGCGTGTCCTGTGAGGCACCTGTGAGCGTTTGGCGGCGCCACGTGGCCATTTGATGGATGTAAGATGCCGAGTGGCGGAGTGTAGCCGAAGTGGCCTCCTCTTTGGTCAGTCCAAGCACAGCCCAGTCGGGGGACCCGGTGCTTCCCTGTCACTTTATAAAGGGCGCGGGTTCGGTTCGCGGAGACGTCCGGTATAAGAATCAACCCGCGGGGCGAGGCCCTAGGAGGAAGGAGGAAGGATCGGACCTCTGAGAGGGGAGATACATCGCCAACCCCCTCCAGAGGTCTTGCCGATGTGAGTTGGCAATCCTGGGGGCTGTTGCGGGGGCTGTTGCGTCTCAACGGAGTGTTCCAGCGAGGCCTCTGAGGCGTGACACGGTGCAGTTTTCGGGTCATTCCGGCTACTGACTGCACTGGGGCTCTCATCCTGGGCGACGCATCCTGGCTGATGATGAAATTTCGGCCTTTCGTTGGACGAAAAGCAGTCTGATCTGATAAGCAGGTGTGTCTTGTATATATGAGACGCTGTGAGAGTTTGGCGGCCCATGGATCGTGGGCTTGATTTTGCACGTACTGAGATGACGAGAGAGCGGCGGAGTGCTGTTGAGTGGCGGGGCACGAGTAGATCGGTCACCGTCTATATGCTTGTTGTTGCGGATGGATGAATGCGGGGCAGCGATTCAGCCCAGATACACACAGCGATGGCAATTAACGTGTCTGTCGATTTGTCATTCATTCACTCGTTCATGATCAGTCAGTCAGTCAGTCAGCGTGTCGTCTCTCCGTCTGTCTGTCTGTCTCTGTCGTCCACTCACTCCTCACTCAGTTGTCCATCCATCCATCCATCCATCCATGTGCGAATGTATGTGTCGATGGTTGGGTTTGTGGGTCGGTCGTTGACTTCACTTGGCTCTGAACATTTGCAGCATGCGTGTGGTGATGGTGAAGCCGCCGCCGATGTTGAAGCTGGCCAGCAGGATGCCCAGCTCGCCGCACACAGACGACGGGCACGCCACACACTGCACACACACACACACACACACACACATCCATCCATCCATCCACAGGCACACAAACACATCGAATGCATGTGTGTGTCTGGTTTGCAGCTTAATGACTTACTCGATCGAGTTGTATCATGCTGCCGACGATGACGATGCCGCTGATGGCGTTGGTCACACTCATCAGTGGCGTGTGCAGAGCCGGCGTCACGCTGATTTATTGATGCATGACCAACACACACACACACACAAACACGACTGAGTGAATGGATGTGTCCCTCCCTCCCTTCCTCCCTCCCTGGCTGGCTTACCTCCAGACACAGAAGAATCCGACGATGATTGCGAGTGTGAAGGAGAGCATGTGGCGCAGCTCCAACACGTCCATGACGAAACCCAGCAGAAAGAACAACACCGCACCCACCGACACCAACAACTGCACACCCATCACACACACACACACACACACAGCAGCCCACACACAGCAGCCCACACACACACGCATCCATCCATCCATCCATGTGACATACATACCGCGAAGACGATTTCGTTGGCCAGCAAACGCTTCAACACACTCTCAATCGCTGATCGCAGCCACACCACACCATTAATTATGT